AACGATTTAGATGAGAAAGCATGGATTTGTTTGATTACCTGCTGTGTTTCTAGAGCGGTACACCTTGAAGTTGTTCCCAACATGACATCACAAGCCTTCCTGGGGAGTTTTAGGAGATTTACGTCACGATGTTCGACGCCTTTGCTTGTCGTTTCGGACAACGCGAAAACCTTTAAGGCTGCGTCCAAAGAGTTAATGACACTCATGCGTGATCCTCAAGTGAAGAAATATTTCTTGCAGCAACGAATGCAGTGGTCGTTTAATCTGGAGAAAGCCCCGTGGTGGGGAGGTTTCTTTGAGCAGCTTGTGGGATCATTGAAACGATGTTTGAAGAAAACCATCGGAAAGGCAAGATTGTCTTATGACGAGCTAGTTACAGCTGTCACGGAAGCAGAATTGATCCTGAACAGTCGACCCTTATCCTATGTATCCTCCGAGGACGTCGAGGAACCCCTCACCCCAGCCCATCTTCTGAGCAGAAGACGGATCCTGAGTTTACCTGATCGCCATCAAGAGAACTCTGAAGATGAAGATTTTCAAGTCGACCTATCGACGAATGACCTCAACAAACGAGTTCGCTATCTAAATGACATTATTGAACACTTTTGGCGTAGATGGCGGAACGAGTATTTGGTAGAGCTGAGAAATGCACATAAGAGTCCTAAGAAAACAGTAGAGAAATCTTCTGTGGAAGTTGGAGATATAGTACTAGTTCACGACGAGAACCATCTGCGTAGTTTCTGGAGAATTGGAAGAATAAAGGAACTTGTCAATAGCACGGTTGATGGGAAATCGAGAGGTGCAGTTGTACAAGTCATGAGCAAGAAAGGGAAAGTTACTACATTAAGGCGTCCATTACAGCTGTTATATCCTGTGGAGATTAACTGTAACCTTGCGAAAGAAGAAGTACAATTGGAACAAGAGAATGGTGCTCAGGAGTCAACTGAATCCGAAAGACCAAGAAGAAGAGTGGCGATCAAAGGTGAACTGTTGATAAGACATTGGATTAAGGACATGAACCAGGTTTAGGGTAGTTGTAGATATACTGCACAGTGTTATATAATTAAGAACAGTCGTAAGGTGTTGGCCATATAAGATACATGTCCAACAGGGGAGTGTGACGTATGCTTGTATTTTGTTGAAATTATCATTAGGGTTCGCTGTGGAATAATCAATATAAGATATGCAAAATGGCGGGTAAAGAAACGTTTTCTGTACGTTGAGATGTATTAATATGTCTTGTGTAATATGTTCAAATTTGTCCTGAGTTTATATTAAATATTACGATAATACAGTCCATCGAAGTTTTTATAACACTATTAACAGTCGCTTATAAAAACATTGCCTATTTGCGTGTTTCTGCTGGGGTCTACACCATAGGCTAATTCGCGTGAGAATCTTAAGTTTTCTTATTTTGACATAATAGCTATTTTTCAATAAATATATTGATATTTTAAACTTATTGAATGATCAATATTTTAAGTTTCACGCCAGTTGTACCAAAGGTTTATGTAAGCGCTCTAGCGCATGATACTGGTTTCAGATGGCATGCAACATGTACGCATTGCGTACCTATTTTTACATCCTAGTAACAAATTTCACAAATTCCATTTTTACACACAAGCTTTATGAAATGAAGGAATTATACAACAAACCCAAAATACATGACAAACACAAAAAATACCTCTGGTAATGCTTGTCTAACGGGTGAAGTTCCTACTTCTTGTAATTTTGTTTCGTTGTTCAGCTTTAACACCCTAATGCACAACGAAGCACAAGTTATCTTAATTATCTTGTATGAGTAGATAATCTTTGAAATACGGCAAGGACATATTTTGGGAAGGGTTGTCCAAGGAAGAAACGCAAATTGGGTAGGTTAAAAACAAGTTCAGCTCAAAGGGCTTAACATTGAGACTAACTGGTAGATACTGACCATTGCAAATGCTCTTTTTCTTTTAGGTGTCCACGTTTTGTACTCCGTTTTTGACAACGGAGATAAGTTCTGTTGGAAAAGTAAAAACTACAATATAATTTGCAATTTCGTAATTCGTAATTTATTCTGAACTTCGCAAATTCGTTGGATCACAAATTCGTTGGACCGGATCAATCAGGTTGTTAATCATGTTAATCGAGAAAGAAAATGAAAGAAATTTACATAAAAATACCAGGGCCGTAGCTAGACGCGATAATTGGGGGGGGGGGGTGTATATTAATATATTCGTGTTCTGCCCAATTGATTTCTTTTGTAAGCGATTGTTGTTACGGTATGTGAACATGAATATTTAGTTTTTTTTAAAAATTTTATAAACTTTGTCACAATATAAATTACATATCTAAATGCTATAATAAGCATATCACCTTCCGAACTAACCCTGCATGTATCGTTTTCCGAGACAAACAAACTGTTAAAACCATATTAAAACAGACATGAAAACTGTAGATGAATGAATATATGAATATACATCCCCCCCCCCCCCCATCTAGCTACGGCCCTGAAAAAAAACATTAACCAGAACATACTGCAGATATCCATCTCCTCTGTGTCGTCTTCAACGGACTCGGCAACAGTTTTCGCGAGGTATTCTAGAAGGTCAAATTTGCACTTACACTTACACTCCAGTTATACGTGAGTACTTGTGGACTGATGAATGCAAAAGAATGAATGTAGCTGGACGGTATAGGGAATGAGTGTTGAATGACATGTGCACGAAAATTTTGTGACATTTTCCAACTACTGTACAACTTTGGCACTCACCTTAAACCTAAACGAATCAATTCACGCAAGCTGGCACTCCATTTATTATTAGACAAATTGTCAGACAAGTATGTCTGGGAGCATGTAGAATGCCGCATGTATATAAATGGAAAGATAATGAACCATACTAATACGACGTGCTTAATACTGAATCTACTGTAGATATATTAATACTCAAATATAAAGCTTTCTAGTGACGGGCACAAAACGTCGCAGTCTGATTGTCGTATTTTTCAAATAGTTTGACAATCTTACAAATCCTCTGTTCATACATATACAAAAAACAAGCTATAACAGTACCTTGAACTGCCATATGCAAATTGTGTGTGACGTCACGAAGGTTTACAGAAATATTTTTTGGGTGATCTTCAGAGGCAATATTTTCGCCTGGCTTGTAATCATCTGGCGGTGTATTTTCTGATTTGGAAGTAGCTTGACGGGAAAATGTATGTATTACAATACACATAACAAAAATAGCTAACCCCAGTATTGACCAGTATCGGTATAAAAATAATTGTTTCCTCAACTACAACAATGTTCTACAAGACTAT